TTGAAAAGGCTGTTCTCTCAATTGAATTGTCAAAAATAAGCTAATTATATTTGTTTGGATCTACAGGAAAGATTTGGCTGTTGTATATTAACCACTTATTTTTCAACCTTACTCTATTCCCTTATTAGTTCAAGGGATGTTCCTTATTATTGTTTTGAGATTTTCTCCATAGATAATCCATATGCAACAGAGTTCAATTTCTTACTTACCATTCTGTATACTTTTTACTTCCTTTTCTTGTCTTACTGCAGGAGCTTAGACTTCCAGTACAGTGTTGACAGGCGGTGAGAGGGGACACATCGTTGCCTTATTCTTGATCTTATCAGGAAAGCTTCTAGTTTCTCACCATTAAGTATGTTAACTGCAAATTTCTTGTAGAGGGTGTTCTTCAAGAAAAGGGAGTGCCTCTCTATTTTTTCTTTGCTACCATAAATGGATTTGGGATTTTGTCAAATGGTTTTACATTCCCCCTCTTCCTCATTCTTGATATTAATAATTTGTCTTTTTCTCCTTTTTTCTCAGCTTTTATAGGTGTTTCTCAATTTTATTAATCTTTTCAAAGAACTAGTTTTCGTTGTGTCGACTTTTCATGATTTCCTGTAATTTCATTCATTTCTTTGGTTTTTATTTCTATTCTTGTGCTTACTTAAGGTTTAATTTATTCTTTTTCTAGTTTCATAAGACAGAGGCTTACATTTAGATTATTGATTATACAGATTTCTTTTTTCAAGTGTATGCCTTCTGTGCTATAAATTTCTCTCCAGGCGGCGATTTTGCTGCATTCCACAAATTCTGGTAAACTGTATTTTCATTTTCATTTAGCTCAAAATAATTTTTCATTGCTTTTGCGACTGCTTCTTTGATCCCCAAGTTATTTAAAAGTAAATTGTTCAATCTCCCAAGTATTTGAGGGTTTCCCAATCTTTCTGTTATTGATTTCTAGATTAATGCCTTCACAGTCTGAAAGCGTATTTTGTATGATTTCTGTTCTTTCAAATATGTTAAGGGGTGTTTCATCTTAAAATGTGTTCTATCCTCATGAGTTTTTTCACATGACCCTAAGAAGACTGTGTATTCTGCTGCTGCTTGGTGATGAAGTATTCCAGCCTTCAGTAAATTAAGTTGTTTGATGGCACTGATGAATTCGGCTGTGGTTTTACTGATTTTCTTCCTGCAAGTATTCATAATTATTACTAGAGGGGTATTGAAATCTCCAGTATAACGGTGAACTCTTCTGTTTCTCCTTGCAGCTCCATCTATTTTCCCCTGGTGTGTTTTGCCACTGTTATGCACGGGAGCACTAAGGAATGCTGTGTCTCCTAGAGACTTGGACCTTTATGTTTGTGTGTGTGATGCCCCTCTTTATCCCTGTGCTTTTTCTGAAAATGTAGATATACCAACTTTTTTTCCCCTTTATTTTTATTGTTGACAGTATTGACAGATGCTCTCTGTTTCCTCCCTGTCTTGCTCCCTCTTCCCAGCCCCACTTCCTTCTGGCTGCCACCGTATTGTGTGTGTCCATGGGTTATATACATGTATGTTCTTTGTCTAGGCCCTTCACTTTCTTTGATACAGTGCCCCCCACCCGTCTCCCCTCTGCCAGCTGCTACTTTGTTCTGTGCATTCATGCTCTGGTTCTATTTATTTCATCAATTTATTTTGTTCATTAGATATTACATATAAGCGAGATCATATGGCATGTTAACGTGATACATCTTTTTCCACTCTTCAGTTTTAGTCTGCCTGTCTTTATTGTTAATGTGGCTTTATTATAGACAACATATAATTGGGAGTTCTTTTTTTAACTCATTATGACAATATCTTTCAATTGCTGTATTTAGAACAGACTTTTTAAGTGATTATTTATGTAATTGGATTAATATAATTTTTAAGTATATTTTGATTTTACTATTATAGTTGTCCCAATTTTTCCCCCCTTTATCCCCCTCTTCCCTGCACCCCTACACTCTCCAGCATCCCTCCTCCCCCTTTAGCTCATGACCATGGGTTGTACATGTAAGTTCTTTGGCTTCTCCATCTACCACACTATTCTTAACCTCCCCCTGCTTATTTTGTGCCTGCCTATTATGCTGCTCATTCCCTGTACCTCTTCCCCCTATTCTCCCCCTCCTCCCCACTGATAACCCTCCATGTGATCTCCATTTCTATGGTTGTTTCTGTTCTAGTTTGCCTAACTTTTGTTTATGTTTTTTAGGTTCAGTTGTCCTGAGTTTGTTGTCATTTTACTATTCATAGTTTTTGATCATCTTCTATTTCTTAGATAAGTCCCTTTAACCTTTCATATAATGAGGGTTTGGTGATTATGAACTCCTTTAACTTTACCTTATCTTGGAAACACTTTTATCTGCTCTTCCATTCTAAATGATAACTTTGCTGGATAGAGTAATCTTAGATGTAAGTCATTGCCTTTCATGACTTTGAATACTTCTTGCCAGTCTTTTCTTGCCTGTAAAGTTTCTTTTGAGAAATCAGCTGATAGTCTTATGGGAACTCCTTTGTAGGTAACTCTCTCCTTTCTTCTTGCTGCTTTTAAGATTCTCTCCTTATCTTTAATCTTGGGTAACTTAATTATAATGTGTCTTGGTGTGTTCTTCCTTGGGTCTAATTTCTTTGGGACTCTCTGAGCTTCCTGGACTTCCTGGAAGTCTATTTCCTTCGCCAGATTGGGGAAGTTTTCTTTCATTATTTGTTCAGATAAGTTTTCAATTTCTTGCTCTATCTCTTCTCCTTCTGGCACCCTGATGATTCAGATGTTGGAATGTTTAAGGTAGTCCCAGAGGTTCCTAAGCCTCTCCTCATTTTTCTGAATTATTTTTTCATTCCGTTCTAATTGGATGTTTATTTCTTTGTTTTGTTCCAAATTGTTAGAGTCCCAGTTTCCTTCTCTTCACTGTTGGTTCCCTGTATATTTTGCTTTATTTCACTTTGCATAGCCCTCACTTTTGCTCTGTTTTGCACCTGTACTCCACCATTGCTGTGAGCATCCTGATTACCAGTGTTTTGAACTCTGCATCTGATAGGTTGGCTATCTCCTCATCGCTTAGCTTTTTGTTTTTCTGTTCTTTCATTTGGACCATGGTTCTTTGTCTCAGCACACCTGTTACGTTGTAAAGGGCAGAGCCTTAGGTGTTCACCAGGGCCAGGCAACCATCTTCACTGAGTAGGGGGTGGTGTATGTCGGAGGGGTCGGAGAGGGAACAGTGCCACTTGCTCAGCTCTTGCCCCACTTTCAGTCACTTCCCCCACTTGCCACAAGCGAATTGGGCCCTTTTGGTGCTGATTCCCGAGTGGGTGGGTTTGTCTCCAGCGAACTCTTCTGTGAGGCTGGAAGTTTCTCCTGCTGCCACAACCCCCACAAGCTTTTACAGCCAGAGGTTTTGAGGCTTTAGTTTCCCGCACTGGACCCCTGAGCTGCAGTCTGTCTTGCTCCCCAGTTCTATCCGGCTTATCCGCATGCGAATGTGGGACCGCCAGCTGCCATCTCACCCTCCCAGTCCTCCAGCCGCAGCCTTGCCCCACAGCCTCTCTGCCAAGGCCGCCCATCTCTGCTCCTCCCACCAGTCTGGATAAGTGTTCCTTCTTTAACCCCTTGGTTGTCTTACTTCCATACATTTCGATTTTCTGGCAGTTCTGCTTTAAATTTGTCGTTGTCCTTTTTTGGATGTGTGAAGAAGCAAAGCGTGTCTACGCCTCCATCTTGGCTGGAAGTTCTTTGGTGGTTTCTGTTTGTTGCCCTTATTACCTCTCCTTTGTCTTTCACCTTTTTCTGCCTTCCCTGGCTTTGAAAATTTTTACCTGATTTTATTTAACCCTTCTGGCTTATCAGTTATACTTTTTAAAAATTTTTATTGGTTGCTTTTAAATTTGAAATATATAGTTAGAGTTAACCTGAGTCCTGTTTCAAGTAACATTGAACCGCTTCATTGATTGTATAAATTTCTCAGTAACAGAGTATTCCAAATTCCTCTCTGCACCTATAACATTGTTCATTTCACTTATCCATAAGCTATAATTGCTGAATACTTTCTTGCTAGTATTATTTTGAACACAGTGTTATCTTTCAAATTAATTAAGAATGTTTAAGGTGATGTATTTTCCTTTCATTTATTGCTTCTTAAATGCTCTCCCTTTCTTCATTAATTTACCTCCTTTTGAAGAATTTTCTTTAACATTTCTTGAAAGCAAAGTGGGTATACTGGTGACAAATTCTCTCAATATTTGTCTCAGAAATTTCTTCTTCATTTTTAAAGGATAATTTCAGTTCACACATAATTTTAATTAGGTTGTTTTTTTCCTATCAACACTATAACTATTTCATTCCACTCTCTTCTTGCTTGGATTATCTTGGATTATCTTCTTGCTGGTATCTTTTCTTTTCTCTCTACTGTCATCGTTGGAGTTCTCTAGAGCAGGGGTCCAAGGCCACAGACGAGTAGCAGTCTGCCAGCCTGTTAGGAACTGGGCCACACAGCAGGAAGTGAGCGGTGGGTGAGCCAGCAAACCAGTCCCTTGTGCCAAAAAGTGTGGGGACCGCTGCTCTAGAGGCTCCTCAAATAAGGTCTGAAACGTGTGGTTCTTTCCACGTATTTCACTGTAATTAGAGCTGGACCCTAAATACTGGTCTCTGTGTACCCATCAAGAAGTGGGGTTTCCCCTATTCTGTTCCTTAACCAAATGGGTAAATTTTGCCATCGGAATTATTGTGGGGGAGCATTTTCTCTATCCCCTACATATAAATGTCTTTTTCAGTTAATGATCTTTTTCAGAGACCAGCGTTTAAGGAAATTATGTGCCTGAAGGATTTATGTTGCTATTAAATTTATGAGGAAGTGGTTATGTATAGTGAATAAAAATTCTGATGACCAAGGCAAAGAATAAATATTTTGAAATGATAGAATCCTACGTGAACGTCTAATGAATTAACTGTAGAACCCCAGTGCTGTCCATCTTACCTGTTTTCCTATGTACATATGTTCCAGGACTCAGTGGCCTTTGAGGATGTGGCTGTGAACTTTAGTCTGGAAGAGTGGGCTCTGCTGGATCCTTCACAAAAGAAACTCTATAGAGATGTGATGCGGGAAACCTTGAGGAATCTGGCCTCAGTGGGTAAGGATGACAACGTATCTTCCTGACAACGTATCTTCATTCAGCCACTTAGAGAACAAGTGTTTCTTGTCCATCGACATTGTTCTCTGCTTTGGAATGGGGAAAGGGAACACTTTGGTAAATAAACCAGGAATGGTCAGACCTCATCACAGGCCTGTAATGTAATAATTCTTCTGTAACTTTGGTTTTTCTGGATCTGCATTTTAGGAAGGAAATGGGAAGACCATAACATTGAAGATCAGTACAAAAACCAGGGAAGAAATAGAAGGTGAGTTATATTCAAAACAGAAATCAGTGTCCCATAAGAGGGTTGTCATTTGTCATGAAAGCAGACATTCCTCAAAAAATAAAAAAAGGAATTGCCTTATGGCCCAGCAGTTCTACCTCTGGGTATATACCTGGAGAAATCCAAAACACTAATTCAAAAGAACCTTCTTTCAGAGCACTCATCATATTCGGGTTCAAACAAGGCATACTGCAGAAAACCTGCACTTTCCCTACAAATTATAAATACATAATTCTAACATTTACTAATATAAATCATTAATCATGTACTCCTGATTTTTTTTTATAGACGTCATATGGTAGAGAGACTCTGTGAAAGTAAAGAAGGTGGTCAGTATGGAGAAAACTTCAGCTATATTTCAAATCTTAATCTGAACAAGAAAACTTCTAGTAAAGTAAAACCATGGGAGTGCAGTGTGTGTGGAAAAGTCTTCATGAGTCGTTCATCCCTTAATAGGCACATGCGCTCTCACACTGCGCCCAAACCACACAAGTATCAGGAATATGGAAAGAAACCTTACAAATGTAAGATATGTGGGAAAGCCTTCAGTTATCTCCAGCCTTTTCAAAAACATGAAAGAAATCACAGCGTAGAGAAATCCTATAAATGTAAGGAGTGTGGTAAATCCTTCAGATATCGTCAATCTGTTCGCAAACATGAACGGACTCACACTGGAGAGAAACCCTATCAATGTAAACAATGTGGAAAGGCCTTTAGATATCATCAAACCTTCCAAACACATGAAAGAACTCACACAGGAGAGAAACCCTATGAATGTAAGCAGTGCGGTAAAGCCCTCAGTTGTCCCAGTTCCTATCGAAGTCATGAAAGGACTCACACTGGAGAGAAACCTTATGAATGTGAAAAATGTAGTAAAGCTTTCAGCTGTCCCAGTTCTCTTCGAAAACATGAAAGAACTCACACTGGAGAGAAACCCTATGACTGTAAGGAATGTGGGAAGGCCTTTATTTCTCTTGGAAGCTTTCAAAGACACATGATAACACATACTGGCGACGGACCTTATAAATGTAAGGAATGTGGGAAGGCATTTAATTGTCCCAGTTCATATCGAATACATGAAAGATCTCACACTGGAGAAAAACCCTACGAATGTAAAATATGTGGTAAAGCCTTCAGTTGTTCCAGTTCCTTTCGAACACATGAAAGAACTCACACTGGAGAGAAACCTTACCAGTGTAAGGAATGTGGAAAAGCTTTCCATTGGCTCACCACTTTTCAAGTCCATGTGAGAACTCACACTGGAGAGAAGCCCTATATATGTAAGCTGTGTGGTAAAGCCCTCAGTTGCCCCACTTCCTTTCGAAGACATGAAAGGACTCACAGTGCAGAGAAACCTTATGAATGTAAACAGTGTGGGAAAACCTTCAGTTCTTCTCTAGGTCTGCAAATACATGGAAGGACTCACACTGGAGAGAAGCCCTATAAATGTGAGGAATGTGGAAAAGCATTTGTATCTCTCACAAGCTTTCGAAGACACATGATGACGCACACAGGAGACGGACCTTATAAATGTAAGGAATGTGGGAAGGCGTTCAACTGCCCCAGCTCATTTCGAATACATGAAAGAACTCACACAGGCGAGAAACCCTACGAATGTAAAATATGTGGTAAAGCCTTCAGTTGTTCCAGTTATGTTCAAGTACATGAAAGAACTCACACTGGAGAGAAACCGTATGAATGTAAGGAATGTGGGAAAGCCTTCATTTATCGCACAACCTTTCGAGGTCACATGAGAGTGCACACTGGAGAGAAACCATATAAATGTGAAGAATGTGGGAAGGCCTTCAGTCGACCCAGTTCATTTAGAAGCCATGAAAGAATTCACACTGGAGAGAAACTTCTTCAGTGTAAGCACTGTGGGAAAGCCTTCAATTGGCCCACATCCTTACACAAACATGTCATGAGAATGCACACTGGATAAATTATAATTGATACGTACAGGAAAGTTTTCACTCTTTACACTAAAAGTAATGTGAAAACTCCACTGGAGAGAAATGGCTATAAGTGTTATGGGAAGGCCTGATCAGGCAAATCAATTAACATGTAATACTCCAGAAAATTCATGACATGAAACACGTTTTAAAAGCTAAAAACAGCTTGTCTTTATCAGTGGCTCATTCTGAAACTCAGTCCCTGGACTGTGGATTCTATTTGCTACTTTTGCAAATAACAATGACTTGAGACAACTCTGTAAGTACCTTTTAAGCAGCAGTATATATGCTTTTAGTAGGTAGTGTTTTTCCTTAAATCAGCTTATAAAAACATCTTTGAAGTCTGTTGGTGAATTGAAAAATAAATAATATATATTAGTAGGATTAATTTTTATATAAATTTTTAACTGTTCTGTAAGTTAAAGGGAATGACACCTTGTTATTTCCTAGGATTTTACTGTTGGCTTCATATGGCAAGTATTGTATATTCCTTACCCATTATAAATATCCCTCCTCTGTTAGGATAAAAACAACTTTCTTTTCCTTTCGTCAGAAGAGCCTTACTAATTTTCATTACTAATAGATAGTTGGTATAAATTTGTAAATATGAAAAGTTTATCATAGAGTATAATCTCACTGGAATCTCTATTTACGTCTGTCCCCCTTAACTCTTGGTCATTTCCTCTGCCAGTGATTTGGATAACAGACTTTACATTAAGGAGAGCAACCTGTATGGACATCAACCTCAAACTTACAAAACCACCTTAAAATGTTTACAATTATAATTGTTTTACATTTAAATTCACAGCTACAATATCTTTGTACCAAAGCAACATTTCCCCCCTCCCCTCAATCCATTGAAATCACCCTATGAAACTGATATCACCATTTAATGTATCTTTTACCCACAATACAACTAGAATGATAATATGATCTCAATGAAGTCAACCAGTGGTATCACCATCCCTCTACTCGTATTGAGCACCTACTGTGTGTCTGAGCTGGACGCTGGAAATACAACAGTGAGCATAACTACAGTGGTCACTGCTCTCACAGTGCTTCAAGTCTATGAAGTTAACTAGAATCACATTTCTGGCTTCTTTCCTAAGTGTTTTTAACACTTAAACTCTGATTCATTTTTGAAGTAACATCTTTGGTATACCAATAAGCCTTTTTATATTTGAAAAAGAAACAGGAGAGAGATCTGTGAGAGGACAATAAAATCTAGAATTGGATATGGCTCTCCTGAAATGAGTCACGTCAACAAGGGTAATGTAACAACCTACATTTTCTGGATTTTTTATGGGTCTGTTAAAATTCATTAATAACCTCATTTGCATGATATTTGGAAGGCCTTAGTGTTTCAGCCACAAAGCACAGAGAAATAGCGTAAGTGTTTCATGCATACCTGCTTCCAACCCATTTTCCTGATGCTTTGTCCTGCCAGTCAAAAGCATCCTCAGTCCCACCACCAGCTACATGACTTCCATTTTCTCAAAGCTGTAGGTCTCCACAGATGCCTCCACAAGATCCACAGCAAAGATCCATCAGTCTGGATTTTTCCTACAAGCCGCCTTGTGTCCACCACGCCACCAATTTAGATTGTCATGTTTGAGAATGTTCTCTCAAATGCTGATTGCCCTCTCCTCTAGATGGTATTTTAATAAGGTCTAATTTGTATAGTAAACATCTCATTCTGTTAATGTTAGTGACTGTGTTCCAGATTTCACCAAAACAGCTGCAGTGGTGCCGTCGCAACTGCGTGGGAGTCGGTCCCCTGCTGCTCGTGCAGTGACTGCTCTGACACATTCCTTCCACGTGAGAAGCAGCATCTTCCTCGTGCCAGGCAGACTGTGGGTGTTGCAGTTAATTCGCAGCTGAACATAAGTCCTCAGTCCATTTTCAGTTATGTTTGTATGTGATTTTTTTGGTCAAACAAATGCTTCTGTAGATGTTTTATGCACTAACAAATATTACCTTTTCCACTTCCTGATAGTGTATATTAAAACATCTCATTGCAATTGTGGATTTTTAGATCAATTTTGTGACTTTTGTCAAGTTGATCATACATTTTGAATCAATGTTATCATGTATTTTCTTCAGGTGAGTTTTGTTTTGTTTTTTAATTTCCCTATAGTTAAAAATGTTTTGTGTTTAACCTCTCATTAATTCTTAATTAAAAACTTACATCATGGTTTTGTTGGTGCCTTATTGCCAGAAACTATAGGGTCATGCCTATCCTCAGGGTGGAGTGTAACAAATTGTGGTGAGGATGACCACAAACCATAAATGATTAACGGTTGCATCAGTAAGAGGGTGCACAAAAGGTCTTACACAGTTTGGGCTCATGGCAAGTGTTGGGATGAGTAGTCAAGGAAGGAGAATGTTCCTCTCTATGAGATACCTTGAGGAGGTGAACTAAGTTCTGTCTTTGGTAAACATAATAGTTCTTACCAAGACATGGAGATATTCCCTATGCTATAGGGGACACTTCATAAAAAGTACCTCAGTTAAAATATATAGTCACTTGCTCTTCAGCAAACCAGGTATTGTCAGAATACAAAGCTAGCAAGGGAGAAAGAGAGGACTCCTATTCCATTGGAGCCATTCTTGCTCAGAAACTATGGTCTTGTGCAATTTTTTAGCATTCCTCTTCTGCCAGGCACTCAAAACATACACAATTTTGGGTGAAACCATTATGGAAAACATTCCTCAAAAAACGAAGAATCTCATAATCCTACAATCCTACTTCTGGGTATTTATCGGAAGAAAACAAAAAGACACATGCATCCCTCTGTTCACTGCAGCACTACTTAAATAGCCAAGACATGGAAGCAACCCAGGTGCCCATCAATAGAGGAGTGGATAAAGAAGTGGTGCGTATATACATAGGACTATTACTCATTAATAAAATAGAATGAAATCTTGCCATTTGCAACAACATGGATGGACATAGAGGGTGTTGTGCTAAGTGATAAAAGTCAAGGACAAATGTATGGTTTCATTTTATATGTAGGATCTAAAAAACAGCAAACTGATGGTTGCTAGAAGGGAGGAGTGGGAGTATGGGTGAAAAAGGTGAAGGGAACATGCAGTTAATACTGCAGTAAGTTTGCACAGTGATAGATGATTACTAGACTTAGTGTGGTGATCACATTGTAAGCTATATAAATATCGTATACCTGAAACTAATATGCCAACAATTTGGGTTTATAAGATGGAAATAAAGGCTTTGAAGGACAGTAAACAGTGATGAGAGGTAATAGGGAGGCTGGGTGTAAATGTGTGTCTTCTCTGTGAAGGGCCAGGCCCCAGTGAGTGAGGATTCCTCATCGATCATTTTTATTTCCACCAACTAATACATTCTAAACACTGAGGAACTGCCCAGGTAGTTAAAAACTGGGGAGCAATACAAGCAGTCAATCCCTGTGATTAACAGTAATGGTTCCAATAAAGGTACAGATGTGGTTAAAAGTTTCATTGCATATAGTAGTAATCACAGGTTTAGACATGAATTACCTGAGACAAGACTTCCCATTGCTTTGGGCCATGGGTATTTGCCTTTCATATTTCCATTATCGTTTTGCTGCTCTACAGACTGAGTGACACAAGGAAGTGAACCCCATGAAGCCACGAGTCCTACATGTTTGAGGACAGGGTCTGGTCATCTGCACAGCTGTAAGGCTAGCATGGCTTTTCCTATGAGTAGAGTGATACCTGTACGAGTCCAGTGTAACTTCCTGGTTAAAACACCTGAAAGGCCTATGGAAGTATAGAGGGCAGGTATCCAAGGAATAGTTGAAATAAGCTGTAGACAGTGTATTGTCTTGCATAATACCCTAATTTAGTGGAAAGGAGGTATGTTTGAGGGATGTCTGACATCCTCAAAAGGGGAGTTTTTTAATGTCTTTTATAAGAGGAGACCTGAAAGTTTTTTGTTTCAATGGTCCACAAAGTTGCAAAGCCCATTTTGCTGTTCACGGGTCTCATTTCCATATTCTTAGATTTCCAGCACACATGGGGAGGATGGAAATGACCAGCTTTGTGTTTTATTAAATAGCAAAGGAAATCCGAACCTCTTTTTTTTCAGTGAAGTTTTCTTTGCATGGTACAGATTATGCGATTTCATAATTATTGGTGTATCTCAGGTATTTTGCCCCTGTTCCAATCATTCATCCCATTTTATAAACGAAAGTTAAGGAGAATAGGGTCGTACCAAACTCATTCAGCTCAGAATAATGGCATCTCTTCTAAATGACTAATATGTGCAAACATCTCTACTGGACACTGTGGTAAAAAACTACATTCAGAGGAATGTGTGTAATCGTGCACTTTCACAAATACGGCATCAAATTTGACTAACAACTTGTATGGCAACATGGTATTCTATTTACATTACATGCTGGAAAAGATAGAGGCAAACATATAGGGACCTAAAACAGATCAGTGGTTAAAAGCAGGTGGAGAGACTGTACAAATGGGCAACATAAGAATGTTCTTTTGCAGTGCAGTATCCTCCACATTTTGGTGGTAATATTATTGTATATTTGTGAAAACTCATAACTACACTGACAATATACAACAATATAACACATATAGTGTGTCCAAAATAATAGAAAACAACAAAAACACTTTCATAGGCTAGGAGACTGTTACACTCTCATGAACTGTGGTTTTTACATGTGTAACACTTCACCACCTTGGGATCCTTTAAATGAACTGAAAAACTGGGAAGACTCAGTCCCCACAGGCCTTTTTTGCAACCCCATCTTAATTTGGGAAACACACTCTAGAGCCGTGCTTGCCCTTTACCTCGACGCATGATGAGGAAATCAAGAGGGCTACCAGAATCTGTGACCCTAAGACAGGTTCCTCAGTCACATCACTAGGAACGCCGGGACCTGAAATAGGCATATCACACAGTTCTCCCCAAGTGGGACCTACCCCAGGGCATCTAAATTCATGGACATCGGCATCACGTCTTCCTGAGGCCGTCTGGAAGCCGTTTGCAGCTCTAAGTTGCCCATCTGATGCCTACTCTTGTGCCTGCTGGATAGGAAGCACCTTTAGAAATCCACACCTGTCCCACCTGAAACTGTAGCAACACCAGGTGGCTATGACCTAAGATCAGGGAGGAAGAAACAGTGATAGATCTCATGTCTGGGCACACACTCCTCAGCATCAGTAGTCCCCGATACCACATAATTACCAACTCCACTTACTAGAAAGTACTAAAAATTGATCCACTTTGGATGGGGCAACAAATGACTCTAGAATCTATTCATGTAACAGTCACTCCATCGCTGCCTCCCTACACTCCTTCACCACAGAGGCTTTAGTAGCCGCCTCTCAGGCCTCCCAGGAGTCTCTAAACCACCACTGCTGGCCATAAACTGCCCCGGAGATACCACATTCCTCAGCTGGTGCTGCACACAGCCGCCGCTGCGGGCCACAGACTTGCCAGTCTGGATATGCAAAAGATCACTGAATAGGTAATACTACTTGCTGGACAGAGGGAAACATGGGTTTTCTGGCATATTCCACCAACAACAGTGTTTTTCCTGTCCTCAGTTTGATGCAATGGTTCTGGAGGTCACCCTTTTTCTAGATCCACTGGACCCTTGGGGAGCTTCTTGGGATCACCTGAGTGACCAGAAGCATGTACATACTTTATGGTCAATATACTATGAGCTGCCCTGAAGGAGTCCACTGAAAAGCTGCTGCTTTCTATCCATAAAAATACTGTCCCTGTTCAACGATGGGACTAAAGTGTCGGGATTGTGAGCCAAACTCCAGCCCGTCGTGCTAGCACCAGATGATGCCCTGGCCAACAGTCAAACTCATCTGCACACATTTTTGCAGATTATTCGGGCTTTCCCAATGGTCTACCTGTCTAGTCCCACCAGTAACAATAAGAACTTATCCAAGGTCACCCCCTTAGGGATAAAGAATTCATAATACCTCATCTCACCATAACCAGTACACAAATCAAGGCCAGGCATGACTCCGCACTGGCCAGCACTCAGTCCACTGAGCCACACCAGCCAAGGCTGTTTCTGTTATTTAATCTGACAGGTAACACTATGTTCAAAGTCAAAATAGTAATAATGCATTCAGTTATTATAGCACAGATCAATGAAATTAATGACAGCAATGTTAAAGGGACCGAGAGGAAGTGATTGGAAATACACCGTGCACAAATTACACTATAAGTGCACCTATATTGTGGACATAAAACTCCATCCTATGGCTACAAACAGTACCAAGGGAACAGCAACTAAAAGCACATGCACCCCCAGCTTCCCAGGGCTGTGGCTTCTCTCAACGTAAAGAGGCTCCTTCCCTGGTGGTGTCAGCAGGTAGGACATCTGCAAGGGGAGGCTCCCCAGGAGGGATAACTGAGCTTTCAAGCACTTCCCTTTTCAGGCTCAGGGGGCCTTAGCCTGAGTCACCGAACAAAGGGTTCTGTTCCCCACTGGAATTTCTTTGGGCCACATTTTAAATGCCAAAAATCCAGTGTTTGAACAATCCACCAAAATCACATGCAGCCAGGATATACATGAAAAGGAAGAAAGAAAGGGAGTCTTTCACTAGTTTAATTTAAAGCCCCTATCCTGGCTGGTGTGGCTCAGTGGATTGAGTGCCAGCCTTCCAACCAAAGAGTTCCTGGTTCGATTCCCAGTCAGGGCACATGCCTGGGTTGCAGGCCAGGTCCCCAGTAGGGGGTACACGAGAGGCAACCACACATTGATGTTTCTCTCCCTCTCCTCCTCCCTTCTCCTCACTCTGAAAGTAAGTAAAATCTTTAAAAAAGAAAACCGTTTTGTTTTTTTTTTTTTCAGAAAAAGATATCAGTTATTTCTATTTAGAGGGAAAGTAATTGGTTTGTAAATAATGAATCATAGTTGAACACATATGCTCTGCAAATCTTTAGCTGGAATTTTATTTGAAATCATCCAAAATGAAACACAAACTTCGGAAACTTAATACACATGCTCAGAAGAAGAAAGTGAAAGAATTCTGTACACAAATGTACACACTACTAGAACTTTAAACATTTTACCCCTATTGAAAAATGTGTAAGTCCGTAAGTCTTT